TTTTTTTTTTTTTTTTGTTCTAGCGACTGTTGGGTTTACCTCTTTTGTCGGGCCCTTCATTTTCGTCGGTACTGTAGTATCCGCACAATTATTGGGTTGTTTTTTTGCTGGGTTTTTCCTCTTTTGTATTGTTCATTCGTTGTAACAGAAAATCTTGGATGAGCTCGGAGGAGCTCGAGCCCAGCCCTGAATGTTTTTTTCTCTTGTTTTTTTTTGTCAGATTTGACGTTGTTCGTCTGAATCTGACGAATTTTCATTTGTCATTTCTCTTTTCCCAAATTAAATTCCCGTATTTTTATTTTATTTTTTTCCTTTCTGATTGAATTTGAGGAGTTTTACAGCGATAGGTCAATTTCTTGTATGGTTGTGATCTGAGGCTCACGCCGGAGAAAGAGGAGTGAATTATTGGCGGTGGGTCCCACCGGACCGGGCGAACGAGCAATGGCCGCCGAGCTGAGGCGAGGGATCTCGCGGCAGCTGTCGACGGGGTCGGTGACGAAGAGCGGCAAGTTCAGCTTCGGGCGGCAGAACTCCATGGACCCGCGCCGCAACAACTTCCGGTTCAGCTTCGGGCGGCAGTCCTCGCTGGACCCCATCAGGCGGACACCCGTGGCCGACGACGGCGGCACAGGGGCCGAAGGAGATCTGGCGGTGCCGGAGAATCTCGACTCGACTATGCAGCTTCTGTTCATGGCGTGCCAGGGGGATGTCGAGGGGGTTGCAGACTTGCTGGATGAAGGGGTTGATGTTAACAGCATCGATCTTGATGGCCGGACTGCACTTCACATTGCCGCCTGTGAGGGCCACGTGGAGGTTGTCAGGCTTTTGTTGAGCAGGAAGGCCAATATCGATGCTCGAGATCGGTGGGGTAGCACGGTTAGACTTGTTCATATGTTTTTCTTTTTTTACCGATTTTATTTCTATTTGTTTTTTTAAGTTTTCAGCTGCATTACTTGAATTTGGTGTATTTCTCAATATGTTGTTGTGCAACAATGGGGAGATGAAGGAGGTTATCTGTTAGGATTGGTTTATGTTATTGTGGATTTATATGATTGTGGTCCTTGCATTCGTATTTTGGCTTCGCGTATTTGGGTACAATTGGATGCTTGTATGGTTAATCTGCTCTTACTGTGAGTGTGGCTTGATGCTAGAATGCTATATATGTGTGATCTTTAAGATAGAGATTGATGTCCCTTGACAAATGAGGAAAAAACGTCAAAAAATCCGTAAATGATGATTATATCGAGTTTTTTTTATGTGCAAATTTAGGTCGCCAACATTGATCTGATTTTAGATCTGCAAATGTGATAAAAGCTCGATATGGGAAAAAGGAGTAAGAACTGTTCATAATATTTGGAATTTTGTTTTACCCTCAGTTCTTGAAAATTTATAGAGGGATTGTTGTTCCTATTAATCAGAAGAAATATACCAAGCTAACCATCCTTATGGAATTTAAAAAGATAGCTTTTTTACTGATATTGCTCGGGTTTTCCTCGACAGGCTGCCGCTGATGCCAAATATTATGGAAACATTGATGTTTACAATATTTTGAAGGCTCGTGGGGCCAAAGTTCCAGTAAGTACGAAATAATTTCTTTGTGTGGAAAAGCTTCTTTCCTCTTTGCTGGAGATAAATACATTATTATTATTTTTTTTCTTTTTTGTCACTCCTAGAAAATCACAAAGACTCCAATGACGGTTGCAAATCCTCGTGAAGTCCCTGAATATGAGCTCAACCCATTGGACATTCAAATACGAAGAAGCGATGGTATCTCTAAGGTGATCCTCGAATTTCCGGCATTAAATTCGAGCATTAAATTGTTTAGCCTTTTGGCAATTGACTTAATGTTGTTATGGAAGGAAAAGACTGCACTTTTCATCTCTACCTATTTGCTTTAGTAATTAGATAGTTTAACATTTATTGCGATTTTCTGTGGACAGGGAGCTTACCAAGTTGCTAAGTGGAATGGCACAAAAGTTTCGGTAAAGATACTCGACAAGGATGGCCATGCAGACACTGATTCTATGTATTATAGCCTCCATTTTCAGCTAATTTAATTTGTTGAACCTTTCAGTGCTTATATATTCTTCTTACTCATTATCTATCTTCTGTGCTGACTAATAAAACTTCCCCATCGTATTTTACTACTTACATTTGAATGAACACAGGATCGAAAATGGAATTTATTTCAAGTAAAGATGTCTTGAAAATTGAATTTATTTCATTAATCATACTTGCTTTCCCATCATGTCATGGAATGAACAAATCTGTGAGCAGCAAGTTTTCTCACTTCGAAGTTCGAAGCTACAAAATAAAATATAAAAAAAATTACCCCAGTAATCGAGCTATTTACTCTTTTAAATGTCGTGTTTTACTCTTTTAATTGTCTTGAAAAATGAATTTATTTCATTAATCATGCTTGCTTTCCATCATGTCATAGAATGAACATATCTGTTACCAGCAAGTTTTCTCACTTTGAAGTTCGAAGCTACAAACTAATATATATAAAAAAAAAATACCCCAGTTATTGAGCTATTTACTCTTTTAATCGTCGTTTTTTTATACTCCATGCAGAAATGTCTTTCGACATGAGTTGACCTTACTAGAAAAGGTTCGGCATCCTAATGTCGTTCAATTTATTGGTGCTGTCACACAAAACATGCCGATGATGATTGTTTTGGAGTATCATTCAAGAGTAATGAATGGCCTTCCTTTCTTGCTTACTCTCTTTCATTGTACCCACCTATAGATCCTTTTATTTTCTAATAATTCCCTTTTTTATTCTAATGTTCAGGGAGATCTGGCTAGTTACCTTCAGAAAAAGGGGCGCCTCTCCCCGTCTAAAGCATTAAGATTTGCTCTTGAGATTGCCAGGTAATAAGTATTTTTTGGAATATGAATTTGTCTGCTCTTTCAGCTGCTAGCTTTTCCCCCCATTTTTTCTTATCTTTTTTCTGCTCTCCTACTCTGTCTGTTTGTCGTTTTTTCCTTTTCTACTGTCTTTCTTTTTTCTTCTTTTGTGACGTTACATTCTAAAAATTCAGATGATACATTTTTTTTTTCGCAGAGGCATGAATTATCTTCACGAATGCAAGCCTGAACCAATCATACATTGTGATTTAAAGCCAAAGTAAGGCAACTAAATGCTTTAGTTGATCATATTATCTAAAAATAAATTATCTTTACTTAAATGGAATGTGCTCTTTTAATAACTGCAATTTTGGTAAGGTGCCAGAAATGTTTTGCTCGATTTTGGAGGGCAGCTGAAAGTTGCAGGGTTCGGTGTTATTAGGCTGTCAACAATCTCACCCGACAAAGCAAAATTGGTGCAGCCTGAGGCGATTGATCGTTCAAGTGGGTATTTAAGTTACTAAAAATGTTTTAACCCTTGAAGAGCTTTGCCTTATATTTTAAACTACTGTAATAACACAATAAAAAAGTGTTTTTCTGTGTTGTATAGGTTTCTATGTAGCTCCTGAACTTTACAAAGATGAAGTATTTGACAGAAGTGTAGACGTGCACTCTTTTGGCGTTATGCTTTATGAGGTAATGCTTTAGTTCTGCGCTTTTTCGCGATAATCCTAACTGTTTGCCATTTGATACTCGATTTTCTTTTAAGTTTCTATGATATTTCCTAGTATTCCTAATGATTCATTTTTTATTCTATTTATTTTTATTTTTTATTTTTTATTTTTTTTGTTTGGTGACATCTTATTACTCACAGGTAGACACATATTCTATATTTCATCAATGACACTCTAGAATTAGACTTCCACTATGAATTTATCAAGATAGTATGATCTATTTTTCTTGGAGAATTGCCATTTAGTAGTACATCACAGTTTTGAGATACATAATAATACGATTAACTTCCAATTTTTTTGCCGTGCTTGTTGTATTTGAGTTACCTCAGATGATGGAGGGAGCACCGCCATTTTCTTCCAAATCTCCTGACGAGGCTGCAAAATTAATTTGTTTGGAAGAAAAGAGACCTTCATTTAAGTCAAAATCCAAATCTTTTCCTTTAGAACTAAAAGAGTAAGTTGTAATGCTTCATACTTAAAATGCATCTATTATTTTTTGCTAGTGAAAATCATAATACATATGCTTAAGATGGTTAAAATCTTTCAGGATGAATCTTGCAAATTTTCCGTATACGTATACGTCGTGTATTTCTCTTTTTCGTAAGGAAAAAATTTCAGATTTTTACCTAGCGTACGAGAAGTCCGTGTTACTATATGTGCAGATATGTTTTACTTCTTTTTACTGCATTACCGTTATTTTTTGTATCTCCACTTGCATGGGGTTTACTTATTTTAATGTGCCTAGGATCATTTAAGTTCTACACGGCAATGGGTTTTGATTTTAATTTTTTGTGGTCGTGTTGTAGCATATAACACTAAGGCTATGTTTGGTAACCAAATAAGCTAGCTTATAGCTTATTCAAATAAACTTACTTTGGTAGGAGTTTTTTTTTTTTTTTTTTTTTTTTTTTTTTTTTTTTTTTTTTTTTTTTTTTTTTTTTTTTTTTTTTTTTTTGTTTTTTTAAGTTTGAGCTTATGAGATAAGGTTCTTTGGTAGCTTTTAAATAAAACTCGTTGAAATTATTTCAGCTACCTTATCAACTAATTTTATCATATAAGTTAGATTTTTTCAGCTACAAGTCATAACTATAAGCTATATGCTCGAAAATCACTCATCGGCTATAAGTTATCATATCAGCTATCAACTAGTTTTATAACATAGCTTAAGTCATTCAAAAGCACAAAATGCTTAGGAGTAGTTAAGACATTCTGAAATATTATTTTTGCGTGATTAAACTTTGGCATGTATCACAGGTTAATCGAGGAATGCTGGCATCCGGATTGTGTTGTGAGGCCGACATTCTCCGAGATCATCATTCGACTCGATAAAATCGTCATGAATTGTTCTAAACAAGGATGGTGGAAAGACACTTTCAAACTCCCATGGTTTGCTCACGCGCTATCTTTTTTTTTTCGTTTTTTTTACCCGTTAATTTCATGCGTGTCAATATGTGATTAGTAAAAAAAAAAACGAAAAGAAAGTAACTACTAACGATACACAAACAAAAAAAAATTAAGACGCTCTTTTCAACTAACTATTAATTGATCATTGTTTGTTATGCAGGAAATGAGGGATATTTAACCGAACAATGTGAATATATACATCGATATATCTCCATCATGAAAAGAATAAGTCCATCGAGCGAGCTCGGCTCAAGATTAAGTGGAGATGAAGGACTATTGTAAGCTGTCGTGTTGTAAACTTGTAATATTATCTAATATACGGAGGATATTTTGGAGAGAGAAAGCTTCGAGAGGGATGGGAAGACATAACAAATAAGGTGTACGTTGTTTGTGTTATGAACACAAATTTCATAACAAGGTTGTTTTCTGGAAAACTTGCATTGTAAATCTAAAGTTGTAACACTATACTTTGCAACAATCTAATGGCAAATTTGCAATGCAATTCACATCTGGGCTATTTATCTTGATGTGCAAGTAAGTTCAACCAAACATACTAATGGACTTCTGGAATTGGAACCATCTATGGCCACCGGCTGACGAACACCGGTTGCGAAAATGTAAAAAAAATTGGATTATTTCGGTTCATCATTTTCTTTTTCTTTTTTAAACAAGTGATTCATCTGGCGTATTATAATTTTATCTCATATTCATTCGAAAATTAAAATTGTACTCTCTCCTTTCTTTTTTTTTTAAGAAATAATAAAGGAAAGGAAAAATTGTATGTGAGAAATTGTCTTCACCTGATTTAGTACAATTGGATCGACCTTGTTAACAAAATTTTTATAACTGCTCATGAATATGAATATTGAATATTGATAAAATGACCTTGATAAAATCACACGATAAAATTTTATAAAATGACTTACAACAACAAATTTTATAATTGCTCGATTCATTTACACTTCCCTATGAGTTCAGCTCCAATAATTTACACTTTACGAGTTCAGCTCCAATAATTTACACTCTTCTTATACGGTAAAAAAAAAAATGAAGTATAATGGTATAATCAAATATAAGGAAATGTATGAAAAAATTGTAATGTAAGTTTGTAGGTGATATGGCACGTAAGTGTGATACGGTTCACTTGGTAGATATTCAGTCCGGTTTATATGGATACGCTCGGACCAGTAATAAGGTCCTGCAGATTAGTTTTACTAAATGGGTGGCCCGGTCCATTTACATATCCAATCTATTGGGGTATGCCCATTTATTAAACGCGGACTCGGTTAAGTGTGATCCGCTCGGCCCATGTTGACTGCAGCATAATGGGCTCGGCCCATAAAAGAATAAGGGTAATGAAGAATTAGAGGAATGGGACGGAAGAGAGGTGAAGCGTGGGGCACAAGCTAAGCCCTCAGGTATAAATACGCAGACGAGAAATATGGTAAAGGGAGACACTCTACAAACCCTAACCCTACTTACAATTATGTAGGATTCTCTTATACTCTTCTATTCCTTACTGACTTGAGCGTCGGAGAGTTACCGCCGGGAGCACCTCCCGGTGTCATTGCAAGTCTTCAAGAGCTTGAACCGGGCGAGGAACGGAAGGGAACTGGGTCGAGGTGTGGAAGTGTTATCAATTGGCGCCGTCTGTGGGGCAAACTATTTTCTCTTACCGATTGAGGATGACGAACACAATCGCGGATAACCAATCAAGGAGAAATTCAGACGATGGTTTGGAAGAGGCATGGGTAGCAAGGACACCCTATGATGGAGGGCCGCCAAAAGGATGGGTTGCTGGAGAGGGCTCGATGACTACTCCCCCTGTTACGATACAAGGGGTACCCCTTGTTCCCCCGTCGGATCAGGAGAAGGGATCGGCGACTCAAGGAGCGGGCCAGGAGATAGTAATACGGGCATTGGTGCCAGAGGCGGTACCAGAAGGTGGAGAACCAATGATGCAGATGACCAGAGAAGAATTGGATCGCATCGTTGCGGAGGCGGTAGGTCGGGCGTTGGTTGCACGAGACGCGGCGATGAAGGAGAAGCATACCACCATGATAGAAAGGCCGGGTGTGGAGGCGGAACGGTCCGCTGAAGTGGTGGAACGACCTATTGTGGCCGTGGAGCGACCAATTGTTAGGGTCGAGCAGCATGTCCCCGGGATATCCAGGCCTTTAAGGGGCGGTAGTCACCGCAGAGATGATCAAGAGGAGAGTTCAGTGATATCGCCAGTGGTTCCGAGGCAGTCCAGGGATGCGCTGATGGAGCAGATGGCTACTCAAATAAAAGAGCTCCAAGCAAGGGTGGAAGGCAGGCGACATCTCAGGATGCAGGGTCATCCCTTCACCAATGACGTTTTGGGTGCCGATCTGCCTCACAGTTTTAGGGAGCCGAGTATATACTACGATGGGTCCTCAGATCCGGCAAGGCATTTGCGGAGTTTTGAGAATGTCGCGGTCTTGCATCGGTATAACGATGGCGTCTGTTGCAGAGCCTTTTTGACAACCTTGAAGGGTCCGGCACAGGACTGGTTCCATCAGTTACCCGCAGGATCTGTCCACAGTTTTGACGCGTTTAGCTCGCTATTTATCAATCAGTTCTCTAGTGCAAGGAAACACGAGAAGACGTATATGTCCCTAATGAACATGCAGCAGTGGGAGAATGAATCCTTGAGGGAGTACGTGGCTAGGTTTACCCACGCGTGCGTAGAGGTCCCTTCGGCGACTAAGGAGATAAAGGCTGGTGGGTTGACGAGGGGATTGAAAGCGGGGCATTGCAGAAATTCACTGACTAAGAAGCCCGCCCGATCTTATGACGAATTGTTGGAAAGGTGCACCAGGTATATGAATATGGAGGAAACGGAAGTTGATTTTGATGCACATGACAGGCACCGACCAGAAGATAGAAAGTCGTGAGGAAAGAACTATAAGAGTGATGACCGGGTAAGGTCTTTATGAGCAAAGGGATCCACAGGGTAAGGTCTTTCTCAAGCCTTGAAATGTTGTTACTCTCAAGAAGTATTATTGTCAGTTTGATTGTAACTCTGAATTGTTTTTGAAACATTTATGCTTTGGTTATTGAATTTGGTTGTTGCATTAAGGATAACTAGAAGTTATTTTGAAACATTTATGTCTTGGTCTGATGAATGATCTAAGTGTGAATGACCCGTAATACAGAACAAAAAGTGTGTGACGGCTTAAGGCCGAGCTCTTAGGAGTTCGGGTGCTGTTCAAAGTGTGTGTCGGCTTAAGGCCGAGCTCTTGGGAGTTCGGGTGCTGTTCAAAGTGTGTGACGGCTTAAGGCCGAGCTCTTGGGAGTTCGGGT